ATTATGTTGAGTTTAACATCAAAGACGATAAAACTTTGAGAGATTTTTTCAGGATTCCGGATGAATACCGGAAATTTATTGTGATAAAATTGTTAAAAATGTATGTCAAGGCTGAAGATGTTCGCAATAATAAGGTTGCGCAAATTTGGGATATCCCTTAATCATCGGGTGGTTATTTTGGAGCAGTTTTAGCTGAACAGGTTCCGGTTGAAAGAGTTTGGCCTGATCTAAACTTATCTCCACGGGCGAATGAGGAGCGAGGAAATAATTTCTCCCCTACTTTACATAATCCACAAGCCGAGTGGTTAACTTCAACTTTCCTTTGTGTTACGATGTATATTTTTGTGTATTGATTTTGTATTAACACTCATATATTTCACAGGGAGTATCGACCAGATATGAATTTTACAAGTTATGAACCAACAGCCAGTTGGAATATTCCTAGTTTTGGTGTGTTGGATCATGGTGGTTCGTCTGGGAGTCATCATCAACAAGATAATGTACATCATGGGATATCAACACATTATGATTTATAAATGAATATATAAAGTTATATGTAAAGTTTGACCAATTTGAGTTACTCATTATTTTGTGGGTTGTGCAATAAATATGAGCAACTTGATGGTCCTGTCCTTACTCAATTGCCCGAAGATAATATATTTAATCGGGATCTGGTAGATGCGCAGAGTCAGGAAGAGAATAGTGATTATGACTACAATGCCGATGAGTCTGGAGATGACATACCCTTCCCTGACGAGGGTGATGATGAGGAGGAAGAGAATGCTGAACATGATTTGACAAGGGAGCATGCTCCACCTCCCGTTAGACCAAGAGTGTGTGAGTCCGACGTGCCATTTATTTCAAGGGAGATTCCCTAACTTGATCATTTGCCAAGTATGTCAAATGTGGATGCCCTAACAAGGGATATTGGCAAAATTCGGACAGCAATGTGGGATGAATCTAGACCAACAGTGTTGTCAAAAGGCATGCTTTTTCCTGATAAAGCGCGCCTAAGCAGGGCGGTAAAGATGTAAAGCATAAAAGAATGTCGTGAGATGATGGTATGTGAGTCACCTACGGATGTATACAAGGTTATTTGTCGTAGATGGTTTACAGGTTGTAATTGGATGTTGTGTGCGAGGAAGAAGAAAAAAAATATGTGGGTTGTGGGTAAATACATTGGCACTCACAATTGTGAAATGGACACATTCAGTGGGAATCACTTTAACTTGGATGTTAACTTGATTTCTCTTGTCTTGATTCCACACATTGAAGCGTCCATAAGGTACAAGATTAAAGAGTGTATTACATCTGTCCACCAGGAATATGAGTGTACCGTTACCAAAAGAAAGGTATTTCTCAGGCGCAAACGTGCGTTTGAAATTGTTTATGGTAACTGTGATAAGTCATTTGCATCTCTACCCAGGTACGTGGCCGCATTGCAACACTTTAATCACTTTAACTCCGGGACTGTGTTGAATGGAAGCTTGAGCAGAGTCCGAGAATATCAGAACATATATTTAGATATGTGTTCTGGGCATTTAAACCAGCAATTGATGGTTTTTTGTATTACCGACCGGTAATATCCATAGACGACACTCATGTTTATGGAAAGTATGATATTAAATTGTTGATCGCAGTTGCAGTAGATGCTAATGGAAGTATATTTCCTCTAGCTATTGCTACTTGTGCCAATGAAATCCAAGAAACGTGGACGCTATTTTTGAACCACTTAAGGAGCATGTTGTTAGACAACGTGCAAGTATTTGTCTAATGTCTGATCGACATGGCGGTATTGTAAATTCTGTACAACATTTGTCTGCATGACAGGAACCATATGCATACCACCGTTTCTGTGTGAGGCACCCGAAGACCAATATTCAGAAGACATATCCCAACAAGGACTTGCATGATTTATACGTTAGTTTTATTATTTTATATGCTTGTTTGCTACTCACTTATTTTTTACTAATAAAATTAAATAATTAATTTTTATAACTATGTAGGATTTAATTATTAAATATTCATATAACAATACTTAGTTTGACAAATATTGTTGTTTCCTTATGTTATTTTCTTATGTTTGTTGACTAGAATTGGAGATAGTTTGTGTTTGAACTATCAACTTTTTGACGTATTTTTGGGTATAAGAGATACTTAAATGATTAATTTCTATAACTACTAGGATATTACGCTAAAGGGCACTACGTTTGACTTCGCTAAAAGGGCATTACATTACAAATACGAGCATTATATTAGGCCACAAGATACCATTATAGGGAATTAAGGTAATAATTTATCTAGTTTATTAGTCTTTTAGCAAATAAATAATCTAAACCGGATAAAAACAACAAATTAATTTAATCACAAAACAATCACGAAAATACATATACCACAGTAAAAAGTAACTAATTAATATTTTTTTAATAACTAATAACAATTTCTCTATTTTACTAATTTTTTAGCACACTAATACTATAGTCCGGATAAAAATAACAAAATAGTTAAATCACAAAACAATCATAAAATAACATAGAGCACATAAAAAATAACTAATATGCATTTTTTATACGAGTTTTAACAAAAACTAAGTCAGAATACCTCGATTTAAAGTATTTAGAAAATTAAAGATTTGGTTATTTGGAGCCGAAACAAGCAATTCACTCTGAGATAACGTCTTAGCTAGGATGTGGGACCTAGAATCTATACATTTTGTGGTATTGATGGGCTTCACTCGAGGTTTTTTTATTTAAAATGGGGTGGGGGATGGGGGGAGGACCGTTGTTCGATTTTTTGTTTTTTNAAGAGCGCTATACATTATATATCACCCCCTTTTAAAGGGCGCTATATTTAACTGGCCAAACGGCCGTTAAGGTATAGCGCTCTTTAAAAGGGCGTTATATATAAAAATGTCACTATGTTTTTTTCCCTATATATTTTGATTCTTTGAGTCCAAAAGAATCACATTTTTGTTCTGGACTCTTTTATATGCGATCGAATGCAAAAACTTTTTTCTTTCTTTAGTTTCCAACGCGCTATCCAGTTCATTGGAGCCCGACTATATTCAGATTAACGCCGCATAGTTTTATTTAGGAGGAGACGCCCCCTATCAAAGATTTTTCTATACCTAGAACTCAAACTCGAGACCTCTGGTTAAGAAAAGAGCAATCACATCCGTTATACCACAATGATAACTAATCTTAATTGTTTTGCTTGAGTGTTAAGTAAAAAACGAGAAAGAAAAATGTTCCCTTTTTACTCAATGATGTGGCTTAAGTGGTTCCTTCTCATCTGACTAAACAATGAGCGGATGAGTTATTTTTTTTTTTGATAATGAAGACATATATTAAAAACGCATACTAAGAGTCATTACATAATTTATTATATATGGGAATTGTTCTAGGACGCGTAGTTCCTAGCTTTTTCCTTTCCAAAATAGAAATAACAAAAGTAGGAGGAATTAGATAAGTCATTAAGCTTCCAAGGATTTGGTAAGCTACTTCCATTCTTCGCCATTGAGTCAGCCGCCTGATTAGCCTCTCTGTATACATGTTGTAGTGGCGGATCTCCTGCTCTACTCATTAGGCATCTGCAATCATCAATTAAATATAGGAACAATTCTTATTATCAATTAAATTAATGAGTTTCTTACAATCCGTTTCGATGGTGAGGGGGAGGTAGTAGTCTATGGCTAAATTCAGTCCATGCAGTAATGCTAGTGTTTCCATGTATATATTAGTTGCATGTGAAATACTCATGTTAAACCCCAAAACCCATTCTCCATTGCCCCTTGCCTCCTATGCCGCCTTTGCCTGGATTTCCTAAACATGAGTCATCCACGTTGAGTTTATAGGTGTTTGGTTCCGGCGGTTTCCATTTAATGAGAATGGTGTCTTTAATTATAGGGGTTATATGATATTTGTACTATTGGGAAAATTGCTTTTTTTTTTTTGCTTTTAGTTATGAATATTCATGTATTCTTATTTTATATGCTACATCACATAATATATGGGTTCATGCATAACTTATGTGGATATTAGTAAGCAGTGGAGTAAATTTTATGCGTGGTCATTCAACTTTGTGTTCAATATGCAAAAGTCACTTTTATTCATTTTGTTACGTAAAAATCATTCAACTTTGTGTTTATTACCCAAAAATCACTTTTCTTTCTTTTGTTACACAAACATTATTTTATTTTACTCTATTTATCACAAAAGTCATCTTGGCCAGATAAAAATCAATTATGTCCTTGACATTATAAATTCTCTCATTCATGTAATACCTTCTATATTATATACTATATAATATATTTTTATCTAAGTATTTTACTTATAATTAAATAATTTTAATTATTTTATTTATTATTTTTATAATATATCTATACATTTAATTTTTCCATGGCACTCAATTTGTTTAATCATATTCAAACATGAACATATTTTAAATATAAAAATGATAAAAAAAATTTATTTTTAATATTTATTTAAAATAGTAAAAACAAATTAGAAGTTTTAACGAACGTGGTATTCACGGTAATGTTACTGACAAATTTAATAATTCTACTCATATATCTTAAAAATAAAAAATAAAAAATATATAATGTACGAATATATTATAAAAATAATAAATAAAATAATATTAAGTTATTTCAATTATAAGTAAAATACCTAGGTAAAAGTATATTGTATATCATATAATATAGAAGGTATTATATAAATGAGAGGATTTATAATGCCAACGGCATAATAGACTTTTCAGGTGAAAGATTTGTAAAATCTGGTCAAAGTGATTATTATGATAACAAGAGCATAGTAAAATGATTTTTGTATAACAAAAGAAAGAAAAGTGACTTTTGGGTAATGAACACAAAGTTAAATAACTTTTACGTAACAAAGGAAAGAAAAACGACTTTTGAGTAATGAACACAAAGTTGTATGACCACTCATGAGATTTACTCGTAAGCGGCGATTATTTTTTCTTGTAATATAATCTACCAAACATTGAACAACTTATGCAAAATTTTATGCTGGGGTTGTATATGTTAAAACAGTAAACCAAACTGACAGCTTAGTGTTATTGTTATATGAAACAACTCTAGCCTCCCTTTACTAGAACTATGATTGAATGTTGAAATACACAGTATAAGATTCATCTCTAAAGCTAAGTAATGGTGCTAAAACAAAGTTTCTCATAGCCCCTTTTGCCACAAAACTAATAGGATGATACTGAGTAATCCCATTTCCCAACTTAAAACTTGCTGCTTGCTTGAATTCAGAATCTAAGGACTCTGAATTGCAGTTAAGTTTGACACTTGAAATGTCCTTGTAGTCCACACCACTATAGATGTAGCAACCATTTTGTGCATCAGATTCTAACGAAACTGTCCCGTCCTTCTCATCCAATCCAGCAACCAAACGGAACAAAGAACCATCGCCATCTGAGGATTGTGTGATATCGAGACTTTGTTCCTGCCCTTGATGATTTATGAACATTCCGGGAAAATCAAAGGGCTCTAACATGACTAGTTTCCCGACAAAATCTTGTGGTTCGGAAAGCTTGACAGATACTTTGTCATTTGCGATGAGTCTGAAGGTAGCACTGACAGCAGAGTCTGTTCCGGCTTCAGGGTACATCTCCATTTGAATCGAGTGATTCGTGCTTGTCAGAGCGAATGTTGCGTTATCAGATTCTTGTGCGAGAGATATTAAATGAGAATTATAGTCAGCTAGAACTGGAGTAATCAAATCTGAAAGAGAAGTGGCTGACTTTGTTTCGATGTCCCAATCACCACTAGAATGGCCAGCAAGAAGATATGGACCATAAAGAATTGCCTGTATCGATGCATACTCTGGCCGGTCATCTGAAGCACCATATACAAGAATTCATCAGCAGCTATACTATATGATCCCTTAGCTTTTGTGAATAGAACATATGTCATCGATGAGACAAAGAAACGTCTTAATTTTACTACCTTTAATGGCTTCTGTCCTAAGACTCATGGGCAGCTCGAGGGTGATTATGTCACCTGAGCCCCAACTCCGGGTTATCGTTAGGAAATTACCTGCGTCAAAAAGTCAGAAAATTATACAAAGGACATAATCTAGGTGAAAATTTGACGTGATAAAGTTCAGACCTGGAGAGGGTAGAGACAAATCCTCTCCGTTCAGTGATGCTTTTGCACTAGTTGAATCTGTCCAACTTGGTATTCTCAGATTCAATGTAGACGATGCACTCTGAAGGAAACAATTTCGAAAGAATGTAATAGTTTATGTTCCAATTGCAGTATTTTCAACAAAGGTAAAGGGTTAATGGGAACTTTGCAGAAAACACAACATTGTACCTAGTGCATACTATGGAAAAGTAATGAAGCTCCCAACGAAATGAGAGACGCAATTTGAGGTACTATTGCCAAATAAAGTTCACAACAAACGGAAAGATATCAAAGGGACAAAATAAGTTAGAACGCATACCCCCTTTGAGGAGACTGTAATTGTCACTCAAAGGCAATTATCCCACGAAACAACAGGTTCTACGCTCTGACTCACCAAAACTTGCCTGGACTTCCAATCAAGAGAGCTAGATATATACTGGATAATATAAAGGCCAGGAGAATTCCCTTTCTCTTCAAAATATACAGAATCTCCCAACTTGGAGAATGATTCAATTCCTACACAAGACAAAAAGGAAAACTACAAATTAAATCTGTTTACTTGTTTTATTAGTTATAGATCTACGAGGTAAAACTGGAATGTCAGAAATTTGACATTAGCATGTGAAGTAGCAGATATAAGGAATTTGTACTGCCACATTGTAAGAGATGCAAACGAAAAATGAGAGGAAGTTTTAACAAGGAATTTGAGATGTTTCTGAGAACTTAAAGAAGACATGTTCTTTGCCAGAGAAGAAGGGTGAAGGATCGGAGTGAATATTGATTTCAACACCTGTCCCATAGCAGCACCAAAAGTCATTAAACGGTGATCCCCATCCATGGTAGCTCCGAGCCTTGGAACCACCACGATGAAGTGGAAGCATATATATCATCACTCCAGGATCACTTCCTCTTTGGATGCTGAGTATGCCATTTGTTAACGCTCGCTCGTAATAATCAGCATATGCCATTTCTTTGGTCCATCTAAACAGGTGGCGCGAAACCTACAAATGTTTAGCATTTATGCATGAATAAACACATACGGCACTATATCCTCTCTTCCCCTAGGAGCGAAAATGAAACAACTTCATGCACACACCTTGAGCATATTATAGGTTGTACACGATTCCTCATTCTCCGTATTTAGTGTGCTCGCCAACCGCTTCGGATCGGACCTGCTCAGGTTGGTATAGAAGAGAAGGGGGGAAATAAAGAACTTTAAATGAAGCGAGCAAAAGAAAGGAGCACATTATATATTAACTTTGTGCATAATGTGCTTAATTGACAAATAATAGAACTGATTTATCAACAATTAGATTACATAGACTGTATTTACCAAAATTCATTGACTGATGTCCCTCCAGTTGCATAGCTGTGGGAAGAATTGACAATATCCATGAAAAATATCCCGATTTCCTAATTATGGATTTACGAACACAATGAAATGTTGTCAGAAACTCTTAATCAGGATTGACGTCAATAAATATATTCGCATCGTATTATGTTCTCAATGCCCTACATCACACCTTTTTGCGTAATTTATTCTCTAACAAGAATAACAAAAGGAAGATAGACTTCCAAAAGCAAAATAGTTTACCTTGTAAATTGGATCACCAGTAATCTCATAACGCAGTTGAGATCCAATAACAATTGGGATGTGCGTATTTGCATGAAAACCTGATATATCATCAGCCTAAAGGAAGAAAAAAAAAACATCAAATAATAAAGTTAATGTTGGTCACACGTGCAACTATAGTAATCATGGATCATATATAATCAACCTAAACCATGGGACAACGGATATAAAACTATTGAAAGCCATATTTAGTTACATAAGTAACTATGGCGATAAAGAAGTATAAATCTCAAGGCAAGCAGCCAAAAACCCATTTTGTACTGCCACCCAGACGTACTACCTTTATGTTTGATACTCAGCTATCAACATACAAAAGCATGACTGATTTTGAACTTCTACAACAAGACAAGTTAAATGACTTTCCTGGAAAAAGGAATTTGATTCGTACTATATCTTGTGCCGATGAGGTGTTCCAATTAAAGTTAAGACAGCAATTAGTTGAATCATTGAAAGTAATCGAAAGTAGATACTAGTCGATATTTAGTCTGTTACAATGAATGAGAATTTGGAGAGAATAGGGATTTATACCTTGACAGCTAAGCGCCCTAAAAAGCATGGTTTGTCAAAAAGGTGAGCCAACAATAAGTGCTTTGAATCTCCCTGCAATAGCATTTATAGGACAATAAAAAACAGGATTATTCAAATAATAGTCAAGAGACAAGGCAGATAATACAGAACAATAATATATGCATATCTGCTCGGAAAGGCTGCATTTTGCAAAAGATAGCTTATATGAAATTATGCAATTTTACCTGATTTACTAAAGCACAATATATAACGATGGAGGTTGGACGGAATCACGAAATAGCAATGCAAAGGCAGAAAATGCAGATTCAGGCACCTAAATGGTGAAATCTACCACAATTTTTAACCGTATTCTGAAACACGGAAAAAATCATTGGCTTATCAAATTATCTATCGAGCCGTGAAAAAGATTTAACAAAAGACAAACAAATCCACTATCCGTTTTACGTTTGGTACTGCCCAAGGGGCGGGAACTGCCATTCTAACTCTTCTTGGGGGATTCCATCCACAAGCGCAAAGTTTATGGCTGACTGACATTGCCCATCACCATTTAGCTATTGCATTTATTTTTCTCCTTGCTGGTCATATGTATAGAACCAATTTCGGGATTGGGCATAGTATGAAAGATCTATCAAAGTTCACTGCACTCAATAGGTATTTTATTTATCTGTTGACAATAAATTAGTGAACTGAAACTATTATGATAGGAAAGGTTAGACTGTGTACTGGAAAAATTATACACACCGTTACTCTGTACAGCCTATAAAGAACATCATTCATGCCGCCAGTTTCTTCATTTAATGAATCCCAATGCCTTTCAATGGTGTATTTCGAAATCACAGTTTGCACCCGATTGTAGAAGTAATCAACCATCCACGTAGTCATTCTCAAAGCTTGATCATTGCCCGCTAAAGTATACTGATCCAAAAGACCTGCCAATATCTGTCAAAAGACCAATTTGAGTAAAACCACTCATTTAAGAGCAAAAAATATGTAAATAAGCAACAGTAATCGAATTCAAAAGCACATCCACCTTGTGAATCGTATAATATGGTGCCCAAACTGGTTCTATAGCTTCAAAGCGGTCAAATAGCTCAGACGGAAAAGCAGAAAGGTAACCTGTACCCATGTTTTCTTGGCAAGCAGATAGTGCAGAAACAACAGCAGACATTTTCTCTTCAAGACTGTCGTTGTGGGTGCTAGCCCACATCTGTGCTGTGGCACTAAGGTAATGACCTAAAAGTTACAAAAGAAGCAAAATGATACGAGTTTGTATAAAAATGATCAAAAAGGAACATATTCTGAAACATAACAAATAGTTGTTTCTCAAAGTAACATTAGGATATCTATCGAGTTTGATTCTTGAATCATGTAACAAAGATTATAACAGATTATACATTCAGGAGATCAACAAAAAGCGGCGACAATAACAACTCATATTCATGAAGTATTTAATGCATACAACAGCACAGATATGCAGCTTTAAACAGTAGGCAGTAAAATCAAATTGTTTGGAAAATTCTGTCCTAAGAGGCCATCTCAATTACATGAAAAGATATTTCGACTCTTCTTCTAATTCAACACTCTTCTTCTAATTCAACACGAAAATCACAAGTACTGCGAACAAACAAAATCCCATGCGTAAATATGCACATCATCAATTACAACACAACAACCACTACTACTACCATGCCTCAATCTCAAGTAAGTTGGTGTCGGATATATGAATCCTGGCTGATCATGTCATTCCATTAATGATCAACGCAAACCAATATTATATAAAACGTAAATTTTGCCTAAGTGAGCACGTCCCAATGATACATTTAGTATTGTGGGGATTTCATCATAAATTGACTAGTTTTATGCTGACTATCAACCTACTGCAACTCTCGCTCCATTATCCGGGCTTGGGATAGGCAATGTGAACAAGCTCATAAAGGTGGAATTCACATCATCTATTACAACTAATAAAAATAAGTCAAATGCTAAAAGATATAAAACAAAACTAACCGACAAAATGACCGCGAAGCTCTCCGTTTGGAGCCTCCCAACCTCCATATGGCTCACCAACAGTCTCAAGACCAGCTGTTTTCCTAAAACTCCAAACCAATCTATCAACATCCAACATCAACAAATACTCCAAATTAGTTTGTTGAGCAATTCCATACATTGAATTAGGCTCTAATCCCACATCATGAAGTGAAACTTCACTCAGTAAACCCTCAATTTCTTTCAATTCACCAGAATTCTTTATCTTTCTATACATCATAATCCAATTAAATTCTTCCTCCTCCCTTAAAATCTTCCTAGGAAGTAAATTAGACCAAGCTGAATCATCAGTAGGAGTCAAATGATAATGGCTAAAAATCTCATTTTTCAAGGTTTCATTATTTGAGGACAATAAATCATATCTAAAAGTGTGAGATGATAACTGAGTAAAAGTGTTAGTACACTCCTTACTCAAAACACACACAAATAACATAGAAAAAATCAGCACTTTTAACAACTTGAAGAAGATTAAAGATTTCATCTTTTTCAATGATCCCTTACCAAGAATTCTAAAGAAATGGAAAAAATTGAACCCCACCAAAAAAATGTAAAATTTTCCAAGAAAGACTCAATCTTTCTTGAATAGAAGAGGAAAAAACCAACCCCACCAATTTAATTCAATAAAAAATGCTGACAATGGAGCTAACCAAATACCAGAGTCTTGTTGAAATCAAGAATGGTTTCTTTTATTTAAGAAAATTTATCTGCTAACAAATACAATTACTTTTGGTAGCTAATAAAAGCAAAAACAACAGAATAGTGCAGGAATTAAATAAAACAAGAAAATGAGAACTCAGTGATAAAAATGACTAAACAACAAGTCTTGAAAAAGGGTCTTCAAACTGAACTTTTCAAAGTTATTAAATACTACTACTAGAGAGTGCAACCAAAAGTCAAGTACTAGAAAAGTGCTTAACCCCATAATCAAGAATCTTATCTGTTAAATAAAGCTTAATATACTCCCTGCGGTCCACAATAAATAAATTTTTTGTCGTTTTCAAATATTCACCTTTTAACATTAATTAATAATAAAATTGATCATATTAACCTTTAATATCTCTTCACATAAACAAGTCTAATACATACTCAAATACTATTTACTCCGAAGACAATTATAAAAAAAAAATTAATTCATTCTTGAAATCTGAAAAAATCATATATTTTGGACAATAAAAAAAAATTAGTTATTGTGGATCGGATGGAGTACTATTTTAGCAATTAAAACAAGAAGACAAAAGTTAATAGTAACAAACTTGAGTTTTAGCAAATGGTTTCACTTTTACTAAAAATCAAATGTTCACGTCTATGACTTATAGACTTGATTTTTGTAGGTAATCAACGAGAAGTTTTATTGTGTGCCTCGTACCACTTTTTTGTCTTACAAATTTGTGGACCTAATTTAATACTTCTGAATTCATAAAAATCTAGGTCCACAGAATTATGAGACAAAAAAAATGTCTTATACAACTAGTGTCACTGTATGAGGCACAAAATAAAAAATTTCGGTAATCAATAAACACATGTGTTTATATAGGGATATAAAGATTGGTGTTTATAGCAAACCATATAGTTTACTATAGTTAAGCATAAAGCGAGCTAAAAAATTCATTTATTAACCACGTTAAGTGATAAGTAATGTTTATGCAAAGAGACACATTTTGTACATTTATCTATCTATATCTATTTATACTATATTAAAAGCACAAAGTCCCTTAACAAAATGACGTTCGCCTTTTTTATCCTTTAAAATTTAATTTTGCACTAGACAAAATAGTCATTTAAATCATTTTCCTAATATTTAGGATTTGAAAATTAATTGTTATATTTTATGTATTAAATCCTTCCTTATTTAAATTTGGTAGAAAATCCTAATATTTAGAACTTTAAAATCAAGTAAACTTTTACCTTATATCAATCACTTCCAAAAAAAAAAAAAACAACTTAACATACGTTTACTACGTTTTCTCCCTATCCCTTCATTAACAACAGATACATTTCTACAATGAATTAATATTTACTTATTGGAACTTAAACTAACGGCTTTTTGTGTGTCAAGTACCACAAGTAATAATTTATTGAATAATCAATTAATTGTTTTTTATATTTAACTGTTTAAATGAATTAAAATTTCACGCATTAAAATCTTTCTTATTTGACTTATGCAGAAAGTCCTGCCATTTAGAATTTTAAAACTGTTAAGAGTTTACTTTATACAGATCTACGTTTATGAGTTTAAAATTAATTAAAAATTTACTTATTAAATATTTACTTATTTAAATTATGTAAAAAGTCCAAAACCTTTAAAAATATTAAGAGTTTACAGTATGTAAATCTTACATGTAAAAATTTATACTATATTAAAAGCACGAAGGCCCTTAGCGAAATGTGTTCGTCTTTTTTACCCTTTTAAAATTAGAGATCACACTAGATAAAAAAAAAATCATTTAATATCTCCCTAAGATTTAGGACCTTTAAATTAACTAAAAATTTTAAGAATTTAAAATCAACCATTATACGTTGATTTAATTGTCCAACGAGAATACATCCAAGTACCATATTCTATTTATCAATGCCATATAACCATATTTTGTTTACCAACGCCATATCTTTTAAGACAAGATAATTGCTTCTGTTGTCTTTTAATTTTGATACAAAGTTGGAAAGGTTCTAAGCCCGTATGAGCTAATATTATGTACCTTGGTTATAAAAAATAAATTTTATCACCATGTAAAAAATAGACATATAGATACCAAGGGGAAAAAAGACTCAAACCCGAGAAAAGAAAATCATAACATGTTTTAAAACTTTTAGTCTCTTTGTTATATAAAAAAATTTACTTAAATTTATTCCTACCTAAAATATTTATTTTAGAATCTTGACAAATTAAATTAGATTCTATTTATTATTCTTCATAAAAATGAAAAGCTGATTATACTTACTTATAATCTATATTCATAATAAATATTATTTATTAAACCTTCCTCTAAATTAAAAAAATTAATATTTAAATATATACTTCTCTATGATATACCACATATTTTTTTATGTTGAACAAGTTTTTAAATTTTTAATCTCTTTTGTTATAAAAAATAGCTTACCTTCATTTTTCTACATAAAGTATTTGTGTTACAATCTTGATGATACATTAATTATGAAAAAGTTACCATTAATTTAAAAGATTTATTATTTTTTGTATTCATTATTTGATAATTAATAAATAATATTATTATTTCCTTGTAGGGTGATCTTACGAATGCACTAGATCTCCTTTTCAAAAATTTAAGTTATTATTTAATTTTCAAGCTTTTAATATTTTAAGAAAAATAATAACTACTTAATTAATATCATTAGACGAAGATGCAAGAAAATTTGTTTAAAAAACAACTTTCTCAATACTGACCTAATTAGGCGACTGGAGTTTTATGAAAAATTGCATTGTTTAGTAAATTAGAATTTCAAGAAATATATATCTAGTAGTTAAGGTTTACAATATTTTGATGAAATAACCATTTTGACAATTCTAAAGTAATATAATATTGTTATTGGTCTAATTGATAGTCGAAATTTATATTACTGGTATTCTAAAGAGATGTTAAACGAAATACAACAATATGGCATATTTATACCTTATTTCGCAAGATATTATAATTACAAATATTATATAACTAATTCAACTAAATTCATCATCTTTGTATGTTAAGAAGATATTGTTTCAATGTATATAATAATTTATTTTTTTTGTATATATTTTATACTGATTGACGCGAAACACATGTGCAACGCACGTACACTAAAGCTAGTTAGATTGAAATATATATCATGTGCATATATACTTGTTTTTAACAATAAGTATATACAAAACACAGGAGTAAGGATGATATGGACCTAAATCCCCCCACCCCCACCCTCAGAACTTTTTTTCTTCTCAACTTTGAATACCATGGACACTGTTTTTAAAAACTTTGATAATTCACACATTCCTCCAAAGCCTCCGGACCTTTTAATGCCTTCCAATCAACTTAGGGATCAATCAAGCTCGGTCAACCCAAAGGACCCTATACAATTAAATGTCAAAGACAAGCTTGTTGGAAATGGAGATCATTTAATTTTTTTCTTTAGACCATCTTGATCCCAACTCCTCTCCAATGGAAATTCATGAAGATGAATTGGTTTTTTAATCCGAAGAGGTGCCCGCTAAACAAACACTTTCAGTACCCATCACAAAGGAAGATGTCACACCTCCTTTTTGCGCGCCCGGTCCCGAAGGGTTAAATACGCGAGGGTGTTTTCCCAATTTAAGTGACAATATTCGAAATGAGATTATTTATTTAATTCAGAGTCGCCACTTGGGAAAGGTTTGGTTTTTGGTGTCCCAAGTCACCGGTTTATCTTGAATACCGAATCGAGGAAATTTTCGACTTTTCCAAATGAAGTCTGCGAACCAGAAATTCTAAGTAAGGAATTCTGTTGACCCGAGGGAAGGTGTTAGGCACCCTCGAATCCCGTGGTTCTAGCACGGTCGCTTAAATTGTTATAATGGCTAAATATCTGATTTAAATACATGTTATGACTTACGTGCTTTTATTAAGTTTAAACCGCTTTTATTATTATCATTTATTTTTATAGAATTGCAACGTCATGAAAATGCATCTCGAAACACGTTACAATCAATGCACCCGTGATCGTCAATACATTTTGACTCCGTTGAGATTTGAATTTGGGTCACATCAATGTGCACCTGTGTTTAAGAAGGTTAAGTTATTAAAGGTGCGCCTAAAGCAACTAGCGTATTGTTATTTTGGGAAGGCCGTAAAATTCGCTAAACGGCTTGTCCCGAATTCTAATTATTTTAATATATACATTTACAGGGCCCCGCAGCTTGTGCATTTTTGTTTGTCGATGCTCGTCTCATTTTTATTTAAAAGGATAAACCTACAGTGACTATATTTTCTATTAAGTTCGCCTCTAAAATAAAAGAAAATCTCTTAATTATTTACATGCTGAAAACATAACTTATTAGTTATTAGTTTACGGCTAATGCGATTGGAAAATTGCGATCGAGTTTGTACAAAGAAAAACTGCTTTCATTTTTATATTCTATTATTTACTAATGCTGGAACATGAGAGGGATACACAATAATATCAAAGCCGATTAACTATTCTTCAAGTAATTTAAACTAGCATTATTAGATGAAGACATCATACATATGCAGCCTCATTACTAATTAATTAATCGACTACATTTTTATACAAAGAGAGGAAAATTAATATTCAAACACAGATCCAAACAAAAGAATTCAACAGGAACAGGAGCCTGATTAATATTTCATTTTTNCTAAAAATCCTCTCAATAATATTCAACCCTTTTTCTCTCCCCCCAAAAATCTCTTTTTAAAAACTCTCAAGTCTCCTCCCCAATGTCAAGAAATGACTCTATATTTATAGCAAGACTTTGCCTTGAATTCCTAAACCCAAATTATTCCCCCAATGGCATATTTTGTCTCACTATCAAATGTCTTCTTTATTTTAAACTTTGTTCCCCATGCCTACATTAAATAAATGTCACATTACCAACCCATTACAATATGTCCCCCATGCCTACATTAAACAAGTGCAAGATTCCTCCCCATTATGTTTTGTCTTGTCCCCCATTATATTAAACAAGTACATCAAAAACCCACCCCATTATATTTGTCCCCCATGCTTAACATAAGAATCAAAATAATGTTCAATTACCAAACTACCCCTCCGACCTTATTGCAATTACAAATCTACCCCCGAATGCAATGCAATTTACCAAATTACCCCTCTGCCCTTAAACAATCAATTAATCATAACTCAACCAAAATATAGTTAAGATGA